TCTTCCTCCTCAAGAAATGTCTTCATCAAGACAAAGGAACACTCCGTTTCTCTTCCCGAGATCCGATTCCTCTGTTTTACCCGACCCGTCTCGTTTCTTCAGCCACGATCTCCTCTCAACTCCTCTCCCTACAAACTCCTTCTTCCAAAACTTCACTCTCAACAATGGCGATCAAGCCGAGTACTTTCACCCTTACATCATCAAACCATCTGTTTCTTCTCTCTCCATCTCATACCCATCTCTTTCTCACAACTCTGCTTTCATCTTCGAGCCTTTTAACGCCGACATCATCATCACCGGGTCAGATGGGCCCGACCCGCATGCCCGTAAAACCCATATAATCTCTTCGTTCAGCGATCTCGGCGTCACTCTCGATTTCCCTTCCTCTAATCTCAGATTCTTCCTCGTCAGAGGAAGCCCGTTTATCACCTGCTCCATCTCCGGTACGATCAAAATCTCGACGATTCACGCGGTTTTATCCTTCTCCGCCAATAGCTCGTTAACCAAATACACCGTCAAGCTCAACAACAATCAGACATGGCTGATTTACGCCTCTTCGCCGATTAATCTAGCCAACGACGGAGTTTCTTCGATCAATTGCGATGGTGGGTTTTCCGGTATAATCCGGTTCGTCGTGTTACCGGATTCCAATCCAGATTTCGAATCAATCCTCGACCGATTCAGCTGCTGTTACCCAGTTTCCGGCGACGCTGATTTCACAAAGCCCTTCGCTTTAGAGTATAAATGGGAGAAGAGAGGCTACGGAGATCTCTTGATGCTCGCTCATCCCCTTCATCTCAAGCTTTTATCAACCGACGATTGTTCAATCACCGTCCTAGATCATTTCCGGTACAAAAGCATCGACGGTGATTTAGTAGCCGTCGTCGGAGATTCATGGGTTTTGAGACCAGACCCTGTTTCCGTGACGTGGCACTCTATCAAAGGAGTCAAAGAAGAATCTCACGAAGAGATCATATCAGCTCTCGTCAAAGACGTAAACGACTTGGATTCATCGGCTCCGGTAACGAATTCGTCGTATTTCTACGCGAAATTGATCGCGAGAGCAGCGAGATTAGCTTTAATCGCGGAAGAAGTTTGTTACCTCGATGTGATTCCTGCGATTAGAAAATACTTGAGGAACATGATCGAGCCGTGGCTAGATGGGAGTTTCGAACCAAACGGGTTTCTATACGATCCGAAATGGGGAGGTGTGATCACTAGGCAAGGATCGAGAGATTCAGGAGCGGATTTTGGGTTTGGGATTTATAATGATCATCATTATCATTTAGGTTATTTTCTTTACGCGATTGCTGTGCTTGTTAAGATCGATCCGTTGTGGGGGAAAAGATACAGACCTCAAGCGTATACTTTAATGGCGGATTTCATGACACTGGGAAAGAAAAAAGGAGCGAATTCGAAGTACCCGAGGTTGAGATGCTTTGATCTTTTCAAGCTTCATTCTTGGGCTGGAGGGTTAACGGAGTTTGCCGACGGGAGGAATCAGGAGAGTACGAGCGAGGCCGTGAATGCATATTACTCCGCCGCTTTGTTGGGGTTAGCTTACGGCGATACGCATCTTGTTGCGGCGGCTTCGACGGTCTTGACGCTAGAGATTCACGCCGCGAAGATGTGGTGGCAGGTAACCATTTTAAATCTGAATAAGTC